ATGAAGTTTTCTATTTTCCTTTTAGTTCTCATTCTGAAATCATTTCCACTCCATCTGAAGAATTTTCTTTACTATTTTTTATAGTACAAGTCTACTGGAGAAAAATTCCCTCATCCTTTTTTTGTCTCAAAAATTTATTTCTTTTCATTTTTAAGAATATTTTTACTGTATACAAATCTAGGTTGGCATCTTTTTCTTTCCTTCCAGCATTTTGAAGATAACATTTGATTGGCTTCCAGCTTGTACTGTTTCTGTTGATAAGTCTGTAGTCAATCTATACTCCCTTGTATGATCTCTTTTTCTGTCTGCCTTTCCTATTTTCTCTTTATCAGTGGTTTTCAGCAATTAGATTACAATGTACATTGACTTTTTTTTTTAATGTTTCTACTGCTTGAGGTTTGTTGATACTCTTAGATCTACTGGTTTATAGTTTTCATTGAACCTGGAAACATTTCAGCCACTATTTTTTCAAGTATTTGTTCTGCTTCCCCCACTTTGGCTGGATAGCATGCCATAGGTCAATATGAAGAGATCACAGTCCTGTTCTGTCTGTAATCCAAGGTCTGAAAACAGATGCTTTAGATATCTTGCCCAATTATTTACGATAAGAGGGTAAACCCAGTATGAGGAAGTGCTTTGTGGCAAAAGGAGAACTGTCCCTTTCTCTCTCACTGCTTGACTGCTTTTTAAAAGTTCACTTTTGTATTCTGTTTCCTCTCCATGTTTCTGTTTGATTAATTTATACTGTTAAGTCTTCCAGTTCACCAATTTTTTCTGTTGCAGTTTCTAATCTGCTATGTTAAACTCATCCAGTGAGTTTTTGAAGTTTCATATAGTTCCTTTTAAAAATATGTATCTTGTTTTCTCTTCATTCTGTTCATTTTGTCCTTTAAATCCTTGAGCATGTTTATAAGATAACTTTAAAATCTTTGGTATGGTCATTATCTGTGCCATTTCTGTTTTTTTTTTAATCAGCTCACTTTTCTTTTAATTATGAGTCACATTTTGTTTTATGCCTAGTAATTTCTTATTAGACACTAGACATTATGAATATGATGCTATTCAGTGTCTAGATTTTTTTTGTTTTCCTTTAAAGAGTTCTTATTTCCCCCCCTTTTCCTCCCTCTCTTCCTTTATTTTTGCTAACTAGATAAGTTACATGCATATTCACTTGATCCTTTTGGGACTTTTTAAATTAAACTTTGTTAAAGTGGGTCTCAATCTATGGCCTCTTTAACACTACTAGTTAAGACATGACCCTTATGGGGTCGCTCCACTCAGGTTAGTTAGAACTCAAATTACTCTAGGCCCTGTGTAAGCTCTGGGGATTGTTAACCTTACAGCTCACAGAGAGTTCTTTGCCTGCATTGTGAAGTCACGTCCTCAGCTTAGTATTCAGCAATAAATCCAAGAAGGCACCTAATGCAGTTTGCCTGAGCTTTCTTTATATCTCTTCCTCTCTGATACCCAGCCCTGCAAATTCCTAACATCTCAGAATTCTTGAACACATATTTCTGTACCCTCAACTCAGTCTGCTAAACTCAGCCTAGGCTCTTCCTCCATGTGTTATAGCCTCAAAAGTGCCTCCAGGCAGAAAGTTGATGAAATTACAGGATTCTGTTGTGTGCAATCTCCTTCCTATTCTCTTAGGGATCACAGTTGTGCTCTGTGAAATGTCTGACAACAGTAGAAATCTCTTTCTCTCATTCATTTCGTTGTTTAAATTGTCTCAGGCTTTGTCAGTGGGCACCCCTACTAGGTGGCTTTTCTCCTAAATGTTCTTCTGCTATGAACCCCCAATTTTTTAAATAGACTTTCTAGTACAACAACCTCACCCTGCACTTTCCTCACTCTAGGTTAGGAATCAGAATTTTCTCCAGAAAGATCTAGTATCTTTTAGTAAAGAATCACACTTAGAGACCAGATGTGACCATCCAATTTGCTAACTGCTACTGATGCATAAGGGCTTCTAGATTCTTGGAAGGGTTTTAGACAGTTCAATTTGTAAGTCAGAAGTTCCTATTAGGATCTGAAATGACTATAGCCGTTTGGAACTTATGAATTAAAACAAATAAACTAGAGCTGCTTTCTAGGGCAAAACCCCACACTGGGGAGAAACTGCAAAACCAGGACAATAAATGTAAGCTAAAAAGAAGATTCAAGTAAAAGTGGCAGAGGGTGGCAGAAAGTACAAGCACATATTTTTATTAACTTGCATTAACAAGGGTAGAGGAAGCTCTAGAGCTACGAAACTAAAAATGCTGCCCTGAGAAACCCCAAGTTACTTAAGAGGGAATAAAGCTCAGATTGTGTTCAGGTTTTTTTTTTTTTTAAGAGCAATGCTTTATGCCAAAAGACAATTAGATAATTAAGACAGAGCAAGAAGTTGTGAGCCAAAAATCTCATATCCATCCACACAAACTTTTAAAGTATAAAGATCACAGACAATTGATATAATGATTCTGTGAACCCTTCATGGAAATCTGGTAGAGAACAAGCTTCAGACAACCAGAATGATTGAAGAAACAACAACATAGGGTTGGTAGTTTGGTTAAACATGTATCTAAGCATAGAATGGAGAATAAATGATTATAAAGGGGAGAGGGCAGTACATAATGGTTGCTTGCATTACCAATATAGATACAGATCCAGGATCAAAAAACAGGGAGTATGTGGAAAGAATATGCAAAGAAGAGTAAGCTTGCTAATTACCTTATATTTGTGGGAATAAAAGATAGTACGTGAGGTCAGATGATGGGAGAGGGAGAAGGAAGGATGAAGAAGAAATAACTGTATAATTTCAGTATTGCTCATGGTAGAACCAAATAAAAGGAAGGCGGAACAGAGTACTATATAAAGGTAGCCATTAGAATAAAGATATAACTCTTCCTAAAAAGAGAGATCAAATAAAATAGATTACACAGTGAAAGGCTTTTTTGTATAAAAGACTTGTATATAGGTAAAATGGGGATTCCCAGGTGGTGCTAGTGGTAAAGAACCTGCCTGCCAATGCAAGAGACCCTTGGATCAGAAAGCTCCCCTAGAAGAGGCCATGGCAACCCACTCCAGTATTCATGCCTGGAGAATCCCATGGACTGAGAAGCCTGGCAGTCTACACTCCATGGGGTCACAAAGAGTTGGACACGACTAAAGTGAAAAGCACGCACCCATGCGTATAGGTAAAACAGAAAAACATGACAAAATGGGGCTGAAGATACCACATCAATAAATATAAAGTTCCACACTGGCTACAAAATTCAAAAACATGACGAAATTGAGATGAAAGGTATTGAACAAGTCAATAAATATAAAGTTTCACCCTGGGTACAAAGTTCAACACTATTTATAAAACACAGATTCAGAAAGATAAAAGAATAGTAAGATTTATTCCTTGTGGCAGATTCTTTCCCATCTGAGCCACCAGGGAAGCAGAGTGAGATTCAGAAAGATAAAAGAATAAAAAGATTTATCAGGCAAATGCAAAAAAGGCAGGACTTGCAATTCTGAAATCTGATAAGGTAGATTTATAGGAGGATAGCATAGATAAGGGGTCATATTTTAAAACAAAAAATTTTATACCATGTTAAGAAGTCTAGAGTCATAGTAAATAGGACTCTGTGAAGAATAAACTATAGTACAGATGTGCAAGAATCAGATGTGCCCTAGGTATGAGTCACTATAGTTCAGTTTGTTTCTCTGTTACTTGTGTTTGCAAATAATTTCATTTTATATACTTCTATATATCCTATAAACCTCATAATACAATAGTGTTATTAACTTTAACCAGAAAAATAATTAAAAGTTTGAAGTTAAAGTTTAAGAAACAGAGAAAAAAATCAGACGTATACTTTAACGATGGACTAGACTGAGGTGACACTGGAGGCAGGGGATACAGTTAGAATGGGGCAAGGGGACAGACACTGCTTGAGTACCTTCTTCAGATCAAGTGGTTTACAATTATACTCTCACTTTAATTCTAATAGTTATATGAAGCGAGCCTTATGATTTCATATTTTATACATGGAGATTCTGAAACCTTAGGAAGTTTAAATAATCTGCCCAAGTGAACCAATTAGTATAATGCTAGAATCAAGATTTTGAAGTCAGTTTTACTTAGTTCTTTGAAACTACATAATGGCAAATTTTTGTTGTTGTTGTTCAAAGTCTAAGTAAGAAAGAGGGAGGGTTTATGATAGTTCAGAGAGATAGGTATTTCAGAAGCATAATTAGGAAGGCTTGGGGATGAACTGGACATTGTGTGAGATTAAACAAGATAAAGATATAAAGAATTCCAGAGATGGTGTAAAAGCTAGTATCCACAAAGAGTTACAAATATACTGAGAAGTAAAACAAATCAGAATGTCCTTTTAGGCCCTTTTATTAAATTTACTGCTTTTCTTCTTCCCCAGACCTACACTAATTAAACCAAGCTTACATGATTTATTATGTGCTTAAAAAAAAAAAAGCCAAAAACACAATTACAACAACAATCAGCTCCTATGAAAACTATTAAAACTGGAATGGATACACCAACATCTAGATAAAAATTCGGAGGCAGCAGGCACTGCACACTTTCTCCTGTTTTCCTTTGGGGAAAGGGCAGATTTTAAAATCAGTTAATATCCTAATAATTAATATAAAATGTTTGTTCTCAGTATACAAGCATGAAGAGCAAAAAGTCTTAACTGCATAGGTTTTAGAAATTGATTTCCAGGGAAAAAATTTAGTTAGCAACATGTACATTTATATCATTAAATTCTTAAAGTCTAATGAATTTTTTTTTAAAAGTCACAATATAGAATCTGCTAGTTTTTCTATTTTTAAAAACCAAACCCTTGAAAGTCCTCTGAAAAATTTTCTCTTTACCCAATTTTTATTTCATTCCAGTGCCCCACTTAATGTTCACAATTTCGTATGAGATTCTCTAGAGAATTATTTCTAGATATTTGATTAAATAAAGATATCTTGGCCACATTTCTTCGATTCTATCTTATACTTACATGGAATGGTTCTCAAGTAAAGATTATCTCTGATCACTTGCTGCAGTTTATGGTCAATTGATCCTTTCTGAAACTGAAGACTTAGGTAATGTCGCAAATCTTTATTAATGACTTTGCCTACAACAACAAAAAAAACACAAGACAAAATAAATAATTGTTAGGCCTTCAGTTAAATATCAATGCTAGTTAATGAATACCCTTAAATCATTTAGCCATAAATAGGATAAAAGAAATCAGAGTATTTTATTCAAAATAACCTAAGTGTACCAAATTATTACAGGTACTATAACTAAAATACACACCTGTAATATACAATGTGGGCATAATTTTACATGGCAAGAGAGAGAGGAGGTATGGGTCAGAGAGTCAAATATCCAAGGTAATTTCATTCAATCCCATGACTTTAAGTACAATCCATAAACAGGTAAATTCCAAATTCTTACCGTGTCTCTATCCCTGACCTAACTCCACCAGACTCCAAATGCATCAGACTCCTTCATCTATATTGTAGATAAATAAGTACCTCAAATTTCAGATGAACAAAACAGAACTCTTAAGTCTATCCTCTCCCATTACATTTCTCTCCTCTAATCTTAGAAAATTATGGGAGGGGGGACCGGGATGGGGAATACATGTAGAAAAAAAAAAAAAAAAGATACACTATGGTTGTGATTTAAAAAATAAATAAATAAATAAATAAATTTAAAAAAATAAATAAATAAATAAAAAACCGAAAAAAAAAAAAAAGAAAATTACCACAATCCTGCTGAAGCTGAAGCTCCAATACTTTGGCCACCTCATGCAAACAGCTGATTAACTGTTAAAGACTCTGACTTGGGGAAAGATTGAAGGCAGAAGGAGGAGAGGGCGACAGAGGATGAGATGGCTGGATGGCATCACTGATCCAATGGACATGAACTGGGGCAAACTCTGGGAGATGGTGAGGGACAAGGAAGCCTGGCATGCTGCAGTCCACTGAACAAGAACAACAATCCAATAGAACAAACCTAGAAGTCATCCTCAATTTCTTCTTTTTACTTCTATCCCTTAATGCAATTAATTAGCAATTTTTGTCAGTTCTCCCTTCAACACATATCCCATAACTGCCTACTTCTTCTCTCTGTTTCCACTGCTACCACCCTAAGCTAATCCACCATGATTTCTCACTTGGAATTCTGTAGAAGCCTTCTAATCCATTCCCTTGCACCCATTTTTGGCTCCTTCCTGCTTCCATCATTTCCAAAGAAGCCAGAATGAGATTTTAAAACATAAGTCAGATGATTGCTACTCTGTTTAGAGCCACCTAATGACTTCTTGCTGCTCTTGGAATATAATTCAAACTTCTAAACAGGGCCAAGCAAGACCTACATGTTCCAGCTCTGACCATCTCGGACCCAAACTCACGCACCCTTCCCCTTCTCAAACTATGTTCTGCCCACAAGTCCATCTTTCTCATCTCTAACATGCCAAATGGGTCCTATTAAGAACCTTCTGCCTATCACTAGATGGAACAGGCATTCTCTGTCCATTTGTTTGACTCCTAGATACCATGTAAATGAGTAAGAATGAAAGGTTTCTTCCTTATTTGTGGGGAAAATGGGAGATTAAAAAGAAGAATATTAGGGGTATCAAAGAAATATTAGCAGAAAAATAGGGAGCTGCAGAAATCTGGTAGCAGTGAATTTGTAATAATGGTTGAACTCAAAACAATACAAACACTTTTCATTAGATAAGATTTCTGTAACTCAAAAAGAGCAATGCTAAAACAAAACAGATTATGCTACTGAATAAGAAATGACTGGTTGATTAAAATATACACTTTACTTCAAACAATATAGTTATGGCCAAATTAGATAATTCAAAAGGTTACTACAGATCAGTTCATTCTTTCAACTGTTATTTCATAACATAGCATTTCTAATCCTCTCTTTTCTCACATAAATAAATAAACATAACCTGTATGAGCGAGTACTAAAATAAGCAGGAAATCAGAGTGCTTCTAACGTTTGGAGATAACATTCATGTTCTAAACTAATAAACACAAACCAAAAGGTCCCTGTTTTGCATTGTCAAAAATAGATACTGAGGAAGGGGGAAACCTTGTGATCAAAGAAGAAAACCTGAAGGATATTTAAAAGGATAACACTGAACAATCTGTGGTCTGAGGCTGCTTCTGTCAGGACATTTAGTGGCCCCACCAACCAAAGTCCAATTTAGATGGATTCATGTTATTTCATTTTTCTTTTATTACAGTACTTATTCATTGCTGGGTAGAAGAAAAACCCAATTCATAATCAGTACTGTACAGTCACACTGCTTACTGAACAAAACCAAACCCAATTATGAGTTTATTAAATATTTTGAAAACTAGGTAAAAAGTGTTTTGATCGCATTGTAATAATCACTATACAAAAGCTATGGTGGATTGTTACATAAGTGCTTGAAAGTGTTTAGTGATGTTTGTGGAGGTTTGGCTAGGGTTTTGACTAGACAGAGAATGAATCATTTTTTTCTACCTAAAATAAATTATATAGACTTCAAAACCTGCTATCCAACATATTTTCAAAAATAGATTTAATCTAGATAAAGGATAATGCCTGTTTTATTAAAGAAGACAATCTGAGTAAACACTTTTTAAATTCAAGGTTTAAAAAAGTTTTTGAAGCTTTACTGTAAAATATGGCATGACTCAGACAGATAACTATAAAATGCTAAAAACTCACATTGAGTGTTAATCTACCAATCTATAAAAGCAACAGCCATTGAATTAGATGTTATTAAAGACAAAGCCATAATAAAAATCATGGATCACAAGTTACAATATGAGGGGCTCTCAACAGGGGAAATGAATTCAATTCCTGTTTCAAGGGCACACAAGATCTTAAGACTGAGAGAATCATTAAAACAGAAAGAGTTAAATAAATAAAGAGTTAAATAAATCTAGAGTTACTCTAGATTTATCAGAGTAAGAACCGCTTCCTAATCTTTACCCTCAACTTCTACGGGGACTCTGGATGCAACAGTGAGATGAACAGTTGCAAAGAAAAAGGTGAAGTACAATTTCATAAATGGGATATTTCATTTAAAGTATGAAAACTATTCAAAGATGTCATCACATTTCTCTGATGTTGGGAGAAAATATTACAAACATCAATAAAATGTCAATAATAAAAGATTAACAAATTATATAGATTGGCATTCTTAAAAGTTAATAATAATTAATAATAAAATACATTGGATGTAGCAGTCATCATGAATGTCCTTATTTCAAGAAACCAAAAAAACTTTTGTTAAGGGGATGGAATATTACGCTTCCCTCTTTGATGCAGTTCCAGGAAATTTGTTTTGTTTTTTTAATGTACAAATATCCTAAATAGGCAGGTGGCTACGGAATTACCAGAAGGCCAACAGAAACATTAGCTCACAGAGACAATGGAGAGACTATCTATATTACTGGATTATATATGAAAGTCTGCCTTTTGTTTTAAGAAAGTTTCATAGAAACTGGACATTTCCAGAGGATGAAAAACATCTATTTGGGATTAATGCAGTTGTTAAACCAATAAGAAAAAAAGACTCTTCATAATTGCATTTTTACTCAGTCAGCCTTTGCTTCAAAGTGCTAAGATTATTCTTTGACTCTTAAGTGACTTGTAAGTCAAGTTGATTTATGAAACTTAAAAACAGATCTATAAAGCTTACAAATACAGCTTAGGAGAGGAAAAGTCTATAACTGAACTCTCAATCACATGAATAAATCCATAATCAAAAGAACTCATGACTCAAATTCACACTTTCTGGATGTATGCCAATTAATATTCACTACCATTACTCTTTAAGGGGGCTTCCCTGAGAGCTCACTTGGCAAAGAATCTGCCTGCAGTGCAGGAGACCCTGGTTCAATTCCTGGGTTGGGAAGATCCGCTAGAGAAGGGATAGGCTACTTACTCCAGTATTCTTGGGCTTCCCTGGCGGCTCAGCTGGTTAAGAATCTGCCCACAACGTGGGAGATCTGGGTTTGATCCCTGGGTTGGGAAGATCACCTGAAGAAGGGAAAGGCTACCCACTTCAGTATTTTGGCCTGAAGAATTCCATGGACTGTATTAGTCCACCAGGTCACGAAGAGTCCAGACATGACTGAGTGACTTTCACTTTTACTTTCTTTACTCTTTAAGGAATCAGTGTACAGAGTCACTGGTTATTATTTAGGTAAACACTGTGGCATGCTGGCATAGGTGTGGTCATGCAAGCAGCTGTAAATCAATTTAATTGCCAACATTTCACTGCCTTTTCCATAAAGATTGTCTAGGAGACTCTGTCAATCACTTGCCAAAGTCAAGATATGACAAGTCTTTACTATTGTCTAATCCAGTAGTACTTATAAAATAGAAAAGAAGAAAAAAATGAGGTCAGTTTGGCATGTTTTGTTCTTATACATTTGAGTTGATGCATGGAGATCATCCCATTCTTTTCTGAACACTTCCAATATTTTATTAATTTTATTGTTTACAATCTCTTCAAATGTCGTCGGAGCTTAAAGTCAGGGAAGTGGACTTGCATTTTCACAATCTACGCCTTTTTGGAAGCTGGAACATGTGTCTCGCCTCAGTCTCTTGGTACTTCCCACATTCATGGTTTCACAAAGAATACTGACAATAACTTGGGGTCACATCTGAGAGTCCCTTTAACTCCTGGGAGGGCAACTCAGCTCTGTCTTGAAAATTTAGTTTCATTTAAAGTGAATGATACTCTCATGAGACCCAGAGGGATCGGGTGGAGAGGGAGGTGGGAGGGGGGACCGGGATGGGGAATACATGTAAATCCACGGCTAATTCATTTCAATGTATGACAAAAACCACTGCAATGATGTAAAGTAATTAGCCTCAAACTAATAAAAATAAATGGAAAAAAAAAAAAAGAGAGAAGAAACTCAAAATAAATAAATAAATAAATAAATAAATAAAGTGAATGATACTCTCATGAGCTCTTCATCTTTTTAAAATTTAATTTCCCTCACTTGAAGCTGTTTATCTTTTATTGTTGGAAAAGTAATTATTCCAGTTCAAGACTACAGACACAAACTAAGAATGGCACAGAACTGATTTCTGCCTACAAAG